TCGGACTTTATGTTTTGAATTATTGTTTCACTTTCCATATTCGGTATTCATTCTAATGTAAGCTCCACGTGGCAAAAATCACCTGATGCAGGAATGTAGTATCTTGGAGTTAGGCTATTTCTTTCTTTTCGGGCGGGGACTCCGAGCAGACAACATGCATTTATATAACGGCGATGTAGATTTTCTTACTAAATAAAGAAGGTTCCCGGTCCGGTACATGAATAGATTGGTTAGAAAGCAAGGTTTTAATTTTAATAAGTTTTGAAAGCCTTATTTGAGGGTTGAAATTGGAGAGCACAAAAAAAAAAGAAAGGGGGGTGGGGGTTGTTCCACACGGAATATTTTTATCTTATGAACTCAACATTCTAAAGGTTTTGGTTTTTTTTATTTGATTAAAAGAGAGAAAAACAAATGTAAGACAAATTGTGAACTGTCTTTATTCCTTTCTCCCGTGAGGGAATCTCGCATATATCTGGTTTACCGTCAAACCGAGCAGCACATGTCTTTTTGGTTATTTCTGTCACTAGGTGGCTGTCTCATTGACGTTTACCCCATATTTTTTCACTGAAGCACAATGCACACGTATATGTTTTAGAACATGAAGTTAAGGTTTCATGTCATGAATAATAAAGTAAAAAAAAGCAAAAAAGAAACTCAAAGAACTAAATAGAAAAAGACGAAATGATCTAATTTTCAAAAATGACCTGTTTGGTCGCTCGTAATCGATTGTCTACAAATATAGTTCCTGTCATTTGTAATGAATGTAAACTTTAATATCTGTGGTTTTTTTTTTCATATAAAATTTTATGGTTAAAATTATTAGTTATGTTATTTCTTTTATAGTGGACTTTACGATATTTTTTATTATGCTTTAGAACATTAGGGCATTGCGGGACTATGTGTCAAAGGTGTATGAAGGGCAACTCGTTCTATAAAAGCCGTGACTGGTCGCATGTGTCTTGTGACATCATTTCATGTCTAAGCAGTTTCGAATAAGTAAATTCTTGAGTATACGCCAAGACGAGCATCAGATTTTCAACTTTTGTTTCATTTTGTAGACTGTGTACCTCAAATTTTTTAACTGAAAAAAAAAATGTCTTCATTGGGAACTCTCGAGCTGAAACCTACACTTTTCAGGTTAGCAGGGACAATACTCTGTTTTTAATTTTGTAATTTTTTGCGCATGGGATCGTTAAAGACACTGTCAGTGGATCAAAGTATTGCTTGTCAAAGACATGTCTAATAAGTTAGCGAATGCTGCATTCGAATAGGGACTGCTCTATTCATTCTCAAAAATTTTGCAATCTTTAGACATAGAAATTACCCTTTTCTGTTTAAAATAGATATTCTACATTATAAGGTGTCGACATTAAGTTAGTAATGGAACTTGAATAACTTTGAAAAGTTTAATTTGTTTCAAGCCTACAACAAAAGGTTGCCACATATGTAATATGATCGACACACAAACCTTTGAAGACAGGCCCCTTCAATGTTCCCTTATCCTTGGAAATCTTAAATATCTTCTCATTACTTATTGCTTTCCCCTAAAATAGCTGACAAAATTTTAAATAGTTCTGCTTTAAAATTCATCTTTTCTTCTAGTTATTCAAAAATTATTAGTGGTTAAGCTTTTTCATGTCCAGCGGCTCATATTACAGTGTTATCCGGATTCACCATTATAGGATGCGGGAAAATTGCTATTGTCAAATTCAATTTCAAATAAATAGATTCGTGTTTAACAAAACTATGATATGTGTGTGAAACGTCTAAGATATACAATGATTGATGTATTCATTGTTGGTCTTTAACGCCACTTTTATCATTATTTGCTATTTCATGGCGCCCAGCTTTTTTGTGTGTAGAAAGCTGGGACGCCCGGAGAGAACCACTGACCTTCGGCAAGGAAACTGTCAATCTTAGTCAATTAAGATTGGAGTCGAACCAAGCTACCACGTGTAGGGTTCGAACTCTGAGATTAGCAATGAAGCAGTAATTTTCACCAATGAAAGAAACTTGTTTCTCACTTTATCCAGTTTTCGTTTGATATATAGTTTTATTTTCTATTATTCAAATTGAAGAAACCAAGGCGTTTTAAAAACGAATTGAAGAAAAAAAGGTAGCCAAGTGCATAGTTCTTTCAAACATATTCTTTTATCGCTGAGATGCTGTCTCGTCATGCCAAGAAATTGCCTCCGTTGAAATTTTGCAAACATCCCATAGAGCAAATTACATGGATGATTAATATTGACCATTTTGGTATATGGCCGTGTTCTTAGCGACACGTACATGCAGGTCATTAATTAATTTGTTGAATGAAATCAAATCTTTAACTACTAATAGGTACCGTAGGAGGTCCACCGGAATTTTTAGCGAGGATTTCTTGGCATGGTTTCAACAGACGAAGAAATTGATAATGGCTAGTGTAAATAGCACATGTGAAGATAGTCGGTAAGATAACTTGATCGTTACACGGTATGCTAGTGATTTAATACGATATATATGGGGTCAGCTTCGCTCTCACCCCATATGGAATTTACTGACCCCATATATATCGTATTAGGTCACTAACACACCATATAACTAATAATATATAGTGAATCCATATTGTGGAGGAAACATGGGCATGGGGGAAAGTGGTTATATGTATACGTATGGTCAACTTTACGCGGGGGAAGAATGGCAATGATCCAAAATCTCCCCGAGGGAAAAATGAGATCATGCAGATTTCGGGAGAAAAACTAGCATGAAGGGAATGGCGGCAATATAACATGCTTGGCGTGTTGGGGTGTGCTACCTCGCGTATCTGTTCGTTAAAGAACCCAATTCGACAGCTCATTGGGGAACATCTACATGTATATAGGAGGCATGTTGTAGGGCAGTATTTCTATTTCGTCGTATGAATAATGTTATATGTCCACTTTTAATAAAAAATGGAGATAGCTATATATATTTGATATCCAAGTGCAATGGTCTATCTCCCTATACAAACATAATACGAGATTTTTACACCCTACAAGTTTATGTCAGAACTACACTGTTCTATCTCCACACTCCCACTGACTTATTCATCTAGTCAGTTCAGAGAAAAATATTTTTATATTGTTGTATCTCCACTATTTTTCACGTTTTGCCGCTGTAAAGTAATTGTTATCAAAATTCTCTAAGTAGCAGTATACTTAAATTCAATTGTTTGCATGGTTTGAACTCAACCTATGAACAATTCTTAGCAAATCCAGCAGTCCAGAATTTGGGATATTACACAGTTAAACAATCCATGGTCTGTCTCCAATAGAAATATACTGAGGGATACTTTTCTACAACAACATTGTTTCCAGAAAAGGGGATGCTTTATTTATCTGAGGTAGCAATACTCAGTTAGGAAAAAAACTGAAAATTGACACTCATAATTTTTAACAACCCTCTTTCCCTTGCTTTCAAACAAATAAGGCTTAATGTTTGTGTTCTGTAAGTAGATATAAGAAGATGTGGTATGAGTGCCAATGAGACAACTCTCCATCCAAGTCAAAATTTATAAAAGTAAGTGCACATATGTATGGAAACAGCATCTTCCATAGATTTGATTTCCAATAGTTAAAATGGTGAAATATAATCTTTTTTTGGTGTAACCATGGCAACAATCTGCACTTATTTGATACCAATATCGCAAAATAGGGGTGAAAATGACACAAATGTCCCCAAAATTTGGTCCAAAGAAGAATTTCAATCCATTAGAGTGATACCTTTTCTGAAACCATTGAAATTTATCTATCAGGAGGTCCCCAAAAAAAATCATATGCATTTCACTTCATTTTTCCATAAAATTGAATTGAAAAGTTCTAGGGTCAAATATTATTAAAAACACTACAATAATTTCAGGACCTATGGGCGGTATACGGATGTAAAAATACGGACTGTCAAACAGAAAATGGCTTATAAACATGCAAAAAACAATCTTGATGTTCATATAAACCCACTTTGAAGGCTATATTATATCTTCAGCTATATAAAAATCAATTTTATTGCACAAAAACTTTCGTATTTCAAAAATTCACCATGGCTAAAATGCGAAACTAAACTCCTAACTGTGTATTGCTACCCAAGTTGCTTGTCTATTAAAAAAAAACAACCGAACAAAGAGTTACTCTTCATGCACGTTAATTCGATTCCTGTATGACTTTTATGTCTCAGTCAAGTATTTATGACAATGTGCTTTTAAATTTAAAATTTTAATTTTTATCACCAAGATTCACACGACGATTTATATCACTCTCCAATTACAACATATCATCATATTTTCAGTGGCAGTCCGAAATTATTGCCAAACTGTGCCACTCGAACTGATGATAAATCGTTTTAATTCTAAATATGTCAGTTTAAGTAACGGATAGACTATAGTAACTGTCCATTACTCAAGATTTTGCCATCCTATGCCTATATTAATATACAATGTAGTATTGTTTAATTGCTGCATCATAACCACTTGTATACTTGTTGTATGGGCCTTTGCCAATTATTGTAATTGAGTTTGTACCAATACAATATTTATTTATTTATTTATTTATTAATATCGAAATGAAGAGAAAAGCGTTCCAATATGGCAAACGTATATATTTTAAAGTTTACAGCCCCCTCTCTCCCGACTCTTTCGTAATCGATGAGGTATAAAACTAGGTAGATGAGTAATCGATCTGTATGACTCATATTAAAACAGGGTATCAATATTAGCCACGTGGAACTAGCATATCTATTTTTATTTTATAATGAGATGTGAATCGTTCTTTTTTGTTTAATTGTTTTGTTTTGTTTTTATTAACGAGTCAAATAACTTTCGGCTTTGGAAGCACCCAAAGAACGCCCGGCTTTGGAAGCACCCAAAGAACGCTCATAAACTTAATTACTGTTTAATCAAAATCGACTAGTACAACAAAAATCAAAATGGATTTTTCGACATGAATGAATTTAACCTACTTTTGACGTCATTATAACACAGTCATGTGATAATGAAATTCAGATAAATATAGATCTTTTGCTCAGGTTATAAATAAGACCGGTATACAGTATGTTGACAGAATTCTATGGATTGGCTGTTCACTACATATCATTGGTATTTCACAACAGACGTTAAATCCAATCTGTGGACTATGTGGATTCAGTAAAAGGTTTGGATTATTTTTACCTAATTCTCTCTATTCATTTATATGACATGTACCATTTAAAGCAAGAGAAAAAGTAAACACGAACATACACACATACACACTAAAGGAGAGATTGTTATTTGCGATGTATTAACGATCAACTTTGAATATAAAGTTGGTAGATAACCTTTGTAGATAGGTAAAGAAGAAGATCAGTCTATGTCAAATTATATTTGGGCATGAATCCCCTCTTCTGTGTTAATTACAGCTATTTTTATATTTTTAAGACAACTTGTCTACTAGATCTCTTAATCGTGTTCTTGCTATTAATTTTAAAATAACACAATCGTAAATTCGGTGCAGTTTGAAGATGATTTCAAGTAATTCACCAATTATCCTATTGTGAACTTCCCTTTTCTGTGTAGCAGCACCTGCATGTGGAATATCGATATTTCTCTCTCAGTTGGAACACTATATCAGCTAGGGGCTTGCATTTTTTACTTTAATATCCGAATTATCTTGAGATAGACGAAAGCTGCTTACGAGGAAGCTATTGAACGAATTCTTTAAAAGTTTAACAGATTACATCAGGATTTGCGTTTGACCGTTACGGAATATCTGCAACAGACGACAATGGATATGTCCCTATCCTTGTAGTCACACTCTTTATGTAGAACAGAAAGTATAAAGTCTCAAACATGCGCTCGTTACAGCTTCACTGTTTATTGAAGCTGGCCTATTTGTCATATATTTTGTAACGTTCCAAGTTATGCGATTTATGGTTTAGTTAAATTTCCTGTTTTTTCAAAACAAAATACTAGTAGTAAAAGTTGCTATTCATGGTACCTTAAAACTTACAATTGTGTAATCGACAACGTGACATTAATGATTCTCTTTCAAAATTTGCCGTTTTGATGAAGCCATCTGCTTTCAAACTGAGTCGGGGCCTCGGTGTCCGAGGTGTCAAACTACTATATCACTATTCTGTCAACACTGAGGTTGTGAGTTCGAATACCGCAAGTGGCAGGTTTCGCTTGACTCCAATCTTAATTTACTAGGATTGTCAGTTTTCCAACCGAAGATCGGTGGTTCTCTCCGGGCACTCCGGCTTCCTCCACCAATGAAAAATGACCGCCACGAAATAGCACAATAGTGCTGAACATGGCTTTAAACACAAATCAATCAATCAATCAAACTGAGTCATTGCCTTATTGCTTTGTATGTTAAATTTTACAATTTCAAGCATTCCTAGCTATTTTGTCCTAATTTTTAAAAAAATGACAGTGATTGTATGTCAAAACTATACCAAACTTGAAAAGGCAAATATTAAAATCATCAGTTATATTGAATGCATCTTTAATTTTGAGGTTTAAAAATCTTTCTCTGAAACCAAGTCAAAATATCTGGGGGGAAATGCCAAAAAATCAGAAGAAAGCATGATAAACTGCTCAACTTCTGTGAGGCGGCCGCACGTGACCCCTGCCTGTTATTTAAATGCCTTCTATTTCATATGTACTAATTTGCGGCCTTGCGAACTTGTCAGTAAGCCATGCAATTTCTTTTACAACAAAGCAAGGGACCACCTTTAATTTTAATATTATTATAACGGGTATGTTTACAACAAAAAAACACCAACAAATTTGTCAAAACAAAATTTCTGGGACGGATCATCGAGATACCGCTTAAAAGTAAAAACAATTCCGTTTTTATATGACACCTGAGACCAATAGATAGTTAGTCCCAGATGACACTTTTTAAACTTTTATAGATCAATTTTTAATTGATTGGATCTCTTGAAATATATATGCTGCATGCACATTATTTTTCGATAAGTTCGAAGAGTTCTTGAAAATACATAAATAACCGGATGAAACATCATACAAGTATAAATTAATTTTAATGAATATGAGAATGAGTATAGTTACTTTGTAGCAATGGTTCGACAAACAAAAGGTGATATCTTAGACGCTTTTCTTGGAACTGACATAGATCTAAATAATTTTATCTTGCAAGAAAGGGCATCTACAACTATGAGAGTCTTGGATGATGAAGCATATTTTTTTGAAGTGAGTGAGGACTTCTGCGTGGAAACGGTAACAGTAGACGGTTAGTATTTTCTTTTCTATTTTTTTTAATCACTCAACCCTCCCCCTAACCTGGGACAGTGGTGTAACCATATGTTTAAGAAATAATCCATGGGGGCTTGAATTTATACTGATTTTACCACGGGTTGGCCCTTTATGCTAAATATTTTACCACGAGCGATAGCGAGGGGTAAAATATCGGCATAAAGGGCAAACCCGTGGTAAAATCAGTATACATTCAAGTCCACATGAATTATTTCTATTCTAATAGGACACATACGGCAATTCTTTTGGATCGAAGCGCTCTAGGTGAAGGCAAATATTTGCCGTTCCCGTAAATAAACACACTATTATATTGACGTAAAAGAACGGAGCAAACTGAACTAGTGACATGCTTTAACTATTTACAATGACGTATTTAGATAGGTTTGGATGAATTTAAATGATAATCTTACTTACATGTAAAAAAAAAATGGCTTATAACACATTTTATCATCGTTTGTTTATGTTTCCTTGTTTTGATGACTTTCAGTTTCACAATCGTGCATTTTCCCGTAAAATGCTTATATTCTTACGTCATCGTTCAATGACGTCGGGTAGATCATTCATAAAAAAGCATACGACATGGGAGTATGATCGGAACAGCCAAAACGATATACTAATATTTAACCACGGGTGTGTACTCAAAGCGTTTGAAGAACGTCATATTAGAATGGGTTTATATATACAACTGCCTATCAATACGGTCGTATTATTGTATATGTGTGATTCCGTCTATGAAATCTGCTCCGGGTCGAACCCGGGATAGTTAACCCGAATTAATTACCCCAGTTCACAATTAATATATATGCTCGCCGCGACATATCCTTTTCTGCGCTAAGGCGGCGTAAAGCAAACACCAATCAATCAATCACAATTAATATAAGTTAACCCACTTATGGATTTTTCCTCTCAACAAAAATAGACGTGTCCGCATAAAATGTAACCCGCGTCTGTCCGCTGTTTACATTCTTTGCATCACAGTTGCATTATTTCAAAGTCGGAAATTCTTTTCCACACTCCTGACCGCTTCGGAGGAAATCCGGACCAACCATCTTCCTTATCGTATTTGCGAATAACGTCACAGTACCCAAATTGCATCGAGTACCCAAGTTGCACCCATTTAAATAATGAAAAAAAAACGACGGAACTTTTATAGGTTTTCTTACAGACTAAACAATTCGTATTTTCATAACATGTCAATATGCACGTCTTTCAACATAGCTGAATACACTTAAAGAAACTTCAAGTCAACTTTTGAAATAAATAATTAATATATGTCACATTCATTTCTTGCCAAAAAAGGACAAAAAACATGGAATATTGTCAAATTAAAAGTGAGAAGATATTAAAATAAAAAATCAGTATTATAAAGTCGATTTTTCGTATGTGTAAACTTTAAGCGTGTGCAAGTCAATACAGAATCGTGGGTCGTTTGGGAGTAGGTTCGGTTCGTACCCATTTATCCATTATTCAGTATAAATTCAAAAATAAATTTGTGAAACTTTATAAAAAATAAGCTCGACATACACGACAGACACCACCAATGGTATACCGTGTTAGCACTATTAGATTTGCTCCAGGTCGAACCCGGGATAGTTAATACGAATAAATTACCCCAGTTCACACTTAATAAAAAATTATCCAACAATGGGATTTTCCCTCTCAACAAAAATAGAAATTTATGTGCCAAAATTGTAACCAGCATCTATACACTGTACCTTTTTTACATTCTTTGCATCACAGTTGCCTTATTTCAAAGTCGGAAATTCTCTTCCGCACTCCTGACCACTTCGGAGGAAATCTGTCTCAACAATTGTCGCGAATATCGTCACAGTACCCAAATTGCACCTAATTTGCAACCAAAAAAAAAGGCGGAAATCTTATAGGTTTTCTCAGAGACTAAGCTGTTCGTATTTTCATCATTTGCCATTATGCAGGTCTTTCAACATAGCCCAATACACTATTAAATACACAAAACGGTCACATTAAATCAACAGCGACTGAAGTCTCCAGTGAGAGTAAAATTCACGGAAAATTGCTTGCGACGTATACAAAAAAAAGCCGACTTTTAAAATGAGTAATTAAAATATGTCATAACTTGTGTCAAGCATCCATTTCTAAAAAAAAAGGGAAAAAGAATAGAATATTGTCAAATTGTTCTAAAAGTGTGAAGAACTTAAAATAAAACATCAGTAAGTCTATTTTTCGTATGTGATAATAATCAGTAGATAGGGTGGCATTACATGTATTTGGTTTGTAGACATGAGGTACCAGTACTGCAATCTAATTAAGGTAGCTGTAGTAATTTGTAAAAAGTAGTTTTTTTAAGAGAGATCTGAAAACTAATGGAAAAAAAATCGACCTCCTGAACTATATTGTATCCTTGATGGACCAACTGTCCAACAAAATATAAAATATTGCCTATTTATCAACTATTTGGGAGAATATTAAAATATATTTAACATTTATTGGTAATGAACAAAAAATGCTATACCCCCCAAAAATTCAAAGACAAAGTTATCCGTCCTCGAGTATCAGTCAAATAGCCCTTACCAAACAATTGAAGTTTTTAAATTGCAATGAATTATGGATCTTACAAATCTGAAACCGAAGACGTAGTAAGCATGCTGGCGAAAGAGACTTTTTGATTCTGCAATTCTATCTAATTCCCGTTAATTGTTCATTTATAAATTTTGAAAATATAAAGAAACTGAGATTTCAACTCCATCGGGCAAAGTTGACCTTCGACTCATTTAATTGGCTAGTATTATTTTAAAGTCCTTAAGGCTTTTGGTCATATTTCTGATTTGTTGTTTTCAATTTGTTTTCCACTATTGCAGAGCTATTTGTTGTCAATGGTCATCTTGGTCTGACCTCTGTCACGAACTGTTTTATCAGTGTTGTAATGTGTAATCATTTCTGACACAATACATGAGAAGGATGCAAGGTTGACTTTGACTGCAATAGGGGACGAAATGATACGTCAAGATTTGTTAGCTCCTCATGCAAGATCGTGATTTTGGAGCAAATACTGATGCTTACGAATGTACAGAAATTGCATCGCTTACGTACATCAATTGACCAATTCCGATTACGACCAGTTCAATATTTCATTCGTTTTACCTTATTCTTAATTTTTATATAAAAAAATTATACATTTTAGCACCCAATTATTCAGTCTTTTTTCTTTAATTTTTTTTTGCACATTTTTTTCTTTATTTTTTTTTTGGGGGGGGGGGGGGTTTTCTATTCTGTAAATCACCTCGTCTATCTTGGGTAATTTCAAATTAAGATCCCCTGATACTCAAGCGGGATATATAATGCATAATACTACCAGAGTAGGAGTATCTACAATGAGAAGCTGTTTAATTGGTCGCTTTTTTGTGATCTCCTTTTTAAAATTTGGTAAGATTAATATGCTACAACCAACAAATTTTTAATTCTCATATGCTATCACAGAATTATAAGACATATTTTGATTTCTAAAGGTCAAATTATATTGTATGCTACTAAATTTTTCAATGTTCAAAGAAAATGTTACGGCCATATTTGGAATATTTCTACTGTATTGCATTTTTTGATAGTATCAACATACTTATGCTCATTTTACAAAAATCATACTTATTCATTTATTTCTATGAATAGCAGATGCTGCATATGGATTTTATTGGTTATAAAAGATATTGGATGCTCTCATGATTATATTAAATAACTTTTGTAGTTGTTAGATTGTTTTGTTTTAAAAAACATTATCATTTCTGTTTATAGCATATTTTAGAGAAAATGAAGAAAAATATTAAAATGGCATTTTCACCTTTGATAGATGCTGATGTAATTCTTTCAATTCTATATTGAATACCTCAGCATTTGGATGTTGGCTTCCAATTATTTTTAGATTCTTGCATCCCATCACATCATTATTTTCGCTCAAATATCCGATGCCCACTAAAATGTGGGTGATTTCATACAACAACAAAGGAGCAGTGAAGCTATTTCACACTAGATTTAAAAAGTCTTTCAATCTTTTCTAAAATTCATAGTATCACAGCACCGTATGTACTTTTTTATTGTTCTAACAATAGTATGATTGATTATTTTAAATAAATCAACAAATTATGAACCCTGGAATAAGCCTGAAACCTCAATTTTTACTGTTATTGACAAAATTGATATTGAGTATTTATCCTTAAAAAATATATGAAAAAGACAACGTTAACCAAACAAAAAATGTTGGACTGAGTAAAGATGTGTATGTTTTTTTTTCGGATACATTTTTATTTGTGCAGATTAGTGACGTTCTTCAATGCAAATTTTAACAAAATTTGAACAAAAACCATATTAACAGTGTAATTTTTATACGACCGCAAAAAAATTTTGTGGTCGTATATTGGTATGACGTTGGCGTCGTCGTCGTCGTCGTCGTCGTCGTCCGGCGTCGTCGTCCGGCGTCGTCGTCCGAATACATATTGGTTTTCGCACTCTAACTTTAGTTTAAGTGAATGGATCTTTTTGAAATTTGACCATAAGGTTAAATACCACAAAAGGAAGGTTGGGATTGATTTTGGGGGTTATGGTACCAACAGTTAAGGAATTAGGGGCCAAAAAGGGGCCAAAAATGAGCATTTTCTAGTTTCCAGACAATAACTGTGGAACGGTGTATGGATCTCTCTGAAATTATACTACAAGTTTCCATACCACAAAGGGATGGTTAGGATTTGCTTTGGGGGGTTATGGCTCAAACCGTTTAGGAATTAGGGGCAAAAAAGGGGGAAAAACAAGGTTGTCCTGGTTAATGGACAAATACTTTAGTACAAAACATAATTTAAAGCAGTGTAAGGGAGATAAATCAAATACATCATTGAAATTATCTCCCTTACACTGCTTTTAAATTATGTATAAAGTAATGGTTAATGAACAATAAAGATAATCTAAAACAGTGTAAGGGAGGTAATCCAAATACAACGTTTTGGTTACTTCCCT